AGGCGAGTACACACAGGGAAAGGAGAAAGGACCACAGCACAGCCACACAGGGAGAGATTGAGCCCTTCTCCCTCCAATTGGTTCATCTGCAAGCTGCAGTGCACCAGGTCCATACAAGCTCAGGGGCAGGAGCTCTCGCACAGCAGCCTGCCTTGCCCCACGTCACTGGAGCTACTCTCCTCACAGAGCCTGTTACAAGCAGTGGGGAGGATTTTATCTCCTTTCCTCTCCCTAAGGTCAGCAACAGAGACCACGTGCTCTCCTCCTGAGCACGCAGCCTCCTGTGATCCAAGGCCTGGAGTTTCAGGAAACAGCTGAGAGAAGAAGGGCAGGGCTGCACTCGGTGCTCCCTGGTGGAGGTCCTCCTGCAGCAGGTGGCTGAGCTGCGGGATGCTGTTAATAGACTGTGAGATGTCAGGGAAGCTGAGAGGAAGCAGGAATGCTTGCTCCCAGCCCAAACTGTGCAGGGGCCTCGAGCTTCACCTCTACCTCATGAAGGAAAGAAGGAGGCCATTAACCTGGGAATTAGTGACAAAAAAAAAAACAACAAAAAAAGAAGGAAAAGGACAACCAAAAGCAAGGGGCTTCCCCCTAAATCCCCTGTCCGCAAGCAGAACCGCTTTGCTGTCCTGCAGGGGGCTAATGAGGAAATGCACTCGAGCCAGAACAGCCGGCTGATGCACTGCTAAAGAAGATCTCTACTGGTGCTGCTAGGAAAAAAGTGGCGGGTCGTAGTAGTAGGGGACTCTACACTGAAAGGGACAGAAGCACTTGTCTGCTGTCCAGACCCCGTCTCAAGGGAGGTGTGTTGCCTACCAGGGGCACGGATCAGGGATGTGGCAGAGAGGCTGCCTGCTCTAGTAAGTCCCACGGACTATTACCCACTCCTGGTGATACATGTGGGTGCTAGGGATATAGATAGTAGTAGCCTGGGGAACATAAAGAAGGACTACAGAGCCCTGGGGGAGGTGGTTAGGGGCTCTGGAGCTCAGGTGGTCTTTTCATCAATTCTCCAGGGTACAGGGGAGGACCTAAAAAAAGCTAGGAGGATTGGCCAGGTTAATAACTGGTTAAAAGGCTGGTGTCATAGTCAGGGGTTTGGGTGTCTTGAACACGGCACCCAAGCTTGTAGGCCAGGTCTAGTGGGGGCTGGTGGAGCTGGTCTGATAAAGGGGAAGTGCAGTTTTGGTAGGAGGCTTGCCAGACTGGTAAAGGATGCTTTAAACTAGATGTGTTGGGGCAGGGGGGCATCGTTCCATCCCAACACACCCAGTCAGTTGCCAGAACCTATAATAAAAGCTCAGAGCAATGTAGAGATATCCCAGCCACTCCAGCCAATGAGCCGGCTTCATTTGGAGCTCGGCTCAGATGCCTCTATACAAATGCCCGTAGCATGGGGAACAAACAAGAGGAATTAGAGATGTGTGCACGTCTACGGGGGTATGATATAATAAGCATCACAGAAACATGGTGATCCGATGACTGGAGTGTTGCGATAGAAGGTTACAGGCTCTTTAGAAAAGACAGGCCTGGCAGGCGAACGGGGGGGTTGCCCTTTATGTTAGGGATAGACTGGAGAGTATGGAACTCTGTCTGGGGACAGGTGAGCAGTCCACAGAGAGTTTGTGGGTCAGGGTTAAAGGGAATATAGCTATGGGAGACATTACTGTGGGGATCTGTTACAGACTGCCTGATCAAGGAGAACCTGCGGATGAAGCCCTCCATAGACAGATAGGAAAAGCCTCACGCTCGCAGGCCCTTGTTCTCACGGGTGACTTCAACCACCCTGACATCTGTTGGAAGGACGGTACGGCCCGGCACAAGCAATCCAGGAGGTTCCTCAATTGTGTAGAAGACAACTTCCTTCTGCAAGTAGTAGAGGAGCCAACAAGGAGAGGTGCCATGCTTGACCTCGTGCTCACCAACAGGGAAGGGCTCATTGGAAATGTGACACTCCAGGGTAGCCTTGGATGCAGCCATCATGAGATGCTCGAATTTGAGATCCTCAGGACAGTGAGAAGGGTGTGCAGCAAGCTCACTGCCCTGGACTTCAAAAGAGCAGACTTTGGCCTCTTCAGGAACCTGCTTCGGAAGGTTCCATGGGATACAGCCCTAGAGGGCAGAGGAGCCCGAGACTGTTGGTTGATATTCAAGGATCACCTGCTGCAAGCTCAGGAGTGTTGCATCCCAACCAGAAGGAAGTGCAGGAGGGCCAGGAGACCTCCTTGGATGGATAAGGAGCTCCTGAGGAAAATTCAATTGAAAAAAAGGCTTATAATAAGTGGAAGCAAGGACAGGTGGCATGGGAAGAGTACAGGGATGTTGCCCGAGAAGCTAGGGACCAGGTTAGGAAAGCTAAGGCCCAGTTAGAATTAAACTTAGCTAGAGGTATTAAAGATAACAGGAAGGGATTCTACAGGTACATAGCAAATAAAAAACAGACTAGGGAGAACGTAGGCCCCCTCAGGAAGCTCTCGGGAGAACTGGCTACACAGGAGTTGGAGAAGGCTGAGGTTCTGAATGACTTCTTTGCCTCACTCTTCACTGGCAAAGGCTCTGACCAAACCACCCAAGTCTTGGAAGGCAGACCCAGGGACTGTTGAGAATGAAGACCTTGGGCCCGCTGTAGGAGAGGAATTGGTTTGAGACCATCTTAAAAATCTGAACGTGCACAAGTCCATGGGTCCTGATGAGATCCACCCGCAGGTCCTGAAGGAGCTGGCAAATGAAGTTGCAAAGCCGCTGGCCATCATATTTGAGAAATCATGGCAGTCAGGTGAAGTTCCCGATGACTGGAAAAAGGGAAATATAACCCCCATTTTCAAGAAGGGGAAAATGGATGACCCGGGGAATTACAGACCAGTCAGTCTCACCTCTGTGCCTGGCAAAATCTTGGAGCAGATTCTCCTGGATGGCATGCTAAGGCACATGAAAATCAACAAGGTGCTTGGTGACAGCCAGCATGGCTTCACTAAGGGGAAATCCTGCCTGACCAATGTGGCAGCCTTCTATGATGGGGCTACAGAACTGATGGACAGGGGTAGAGCAGTTGATGTCATCTACCTGGACTTGTGTAAAGCGTTCGACACTGTCCCACACGACATCCTTGTCTCTAAATTGGAGGGACATCAACTTGACGGATGGACCACTCAATGGAAAAAGAACTGGCTGGATGGCTGCATACAAGGAGTTGTGGTCAATGGCTCAATGTCCGGCTGGAGACCAGTAACGAGTGGGGTCCCTCAGGGATCGGTGTCGGGACCGGTCTTGTTTAACATCATTGTCGTTGACATGGACAGTGGGATTGAGTACGCCCTCAGCAAGTTTGCCGATGACACCAAGCTGTGTGGTTCGGTTGACACGCTGGAAGGAAGGAATGCCATCCAGAGGGACCTCGACACACTTGTGAGGTGGGCTGATGCCAACCTCATGAAGATTAACCATGTCAAGTGCAAGGTCCTACACCTGGGTCAGAGCAATCCCAGGCACAGCTACAGGTTGGGCAGAGAAGAGATTCAGAGCAGCCCTGTGGAGAAGGACTTGGGGGTGTTGGTTGATGAGAAAACGAACATGAGCCGGCAGTGTGCGCTTGCAGCCCAGAAACCAACCGTATCCTGGGCTGCATTCAAAAGGAGCGTGATCAGCAGGTCGAAGGAGGTGATCCTGCCCCTCTACTCTGCTCTTGTAAGACCTCACCTGGAGCATTGTGTGCAGTTCTGGTGTCCTCAACATAAAAAGGACATGGAACTGTTGGAACAAGTCCAGAGAAGGGCCACAAGGATGATCAGGGGACTGAAGCACCTCCCGCATGAAGACAGGCGGAGGAAGTTGGGGCTGTTCAGCCTGGAGAAGAGACGGCTGCGTGGAGACCTCATAGCAGCCTTCCAGTATCTGAAGGGGGCCTATAGGGATGCTGGAGAGGGACTCTTCATTAGAGACTGTAGTGACAGGACAAGGGGTAACGGGTTAAAACTGGGGAAGTTTAGGTTGGATATAAGAAGGAAATTCTTTCCTGTTAGGGTGGTGAGCCACTGGAATGGGTTGCCCAGGGAGGTTGTGAATGCGCCATCCCTGGCAGTGTTCAAGACCAGGCTGGACGAGGCCTTGGGTGATATGATTTAGCGTAAGGTGTCCCTGCCCACGGCAGGGGGGTTGGAACTTGGTGATCTTAAGGTCCTTTCCAACCTTAACGATTCTATGATTCTATGAATCTAAGTCCACAGCGCAGAGCTATGCAAGACAAGGATGGTGCAGTTACAGACAGAGGTAGGTTTGTTGAGGAAAGGGTGGAGAGCAGCTCAAGGATGCACAAGGAAAGAGCCCACCACAGAAAGCTTGCTAACGGGGAAACAGCCAGCAGGTGGCAACACAGACATCCCAGGTCCCTCCTGGGCACACCCTTCCCATCCCAACCGCCAACTGCTCAGCCGGCAAGAAGTGTGGGGAACACAGGAAGGCTTAGCCTAGTACCTATGTGTATTCTCACTCCTTCCTGTGTGCTAACCAGATAAAGGAGTCTAATGTATTCTGCTGGAAGACTGCACACGGAAAATGAAACATGAACAGACCCACACAGGAAGGGAGACAGTAACACCCTGGCATAAAGCAGGATTATGGTTGTCTTTGCCAGGCTCAACACAGGTCAGATCAAGCTCCCACAGGCAGATCCAGTAACAAGATTTGTGTTTAGACACTGGACTGTGAATCACAGCAACAGAGATGGATATTCAGATCTGAACAGTGGAAGTTATTTTCCCTCTGACTCACAATAAAAGGTTACCACTGCACTATTTGCTCAGCGAACAGGTCCCAGTTAGCCAGGAAGTATATCCAACACACCTCCAAGTATAGGCTTGTTTGAGGACAGGTTCTCCAATAGCTTCTATTTTACTCTCCCTTTAACTAGCTCCAGCAATTCAAATCCAGCAAGTGTATTTTAAGCGATTCAACTGATCACTGATAAAGACCCGATAGTTCCACACTCGTTGTAACAGTGGTACCTTGGCTTCCTTCACGTGCCTCATGATCTTGCCAAGATCTTCAACATCAAGGACAGAATTTGACCCTCCAGCTTCCTCAGCGTCAGCTTCCTCCTCACTACTGCTTTCAAACAACTCTTCTGCCTGTGTAAGAGATCGGACAAAAATCCAAGTGAGAATTGTATCTGAATGTTAAGCATTAGATCTTCATCTATGCTAACCAGTGAAAACAGCTCTCACACTCGGCAAAGATACTGAAAAACAAGGAACAGCCTACCAATAACCTGTATAATGTGTACAAGATGCATTTAAACCTGGGGCTCTCTTTGGTGTCTGAAGCTCAGCCCAGCTTTCTTGCCTCCAGATTACTCCCTTTCCCTCATGTGCCCACCTGATCCCATGACAGGCAATCAGAGAAGTCAGACTCCCACTCTGTACTGTGATCATCTGGAAGCCTAAAGCCCTTCAATTCCCCCGAGTGCCCCTTGGTGTCTGATGAACAGGGAGTGAGAGATCTGCTTTCCCAGTCAAATTCTTCACAGAGCAGAAACACCGTCTCCCTTTTTGTACACAGGCAAGGTACAGCAGAAGAGCACTGGTGGAACAGCAATGCTTATTCCTCTTGTTCCTGCAGTAGGCAGCACCCTCAAACCCACTCAGACAGAAGAGACCTTCTTTTACTACAGAATTCAACATGGTCATCATAGTCATTTCCAACTCACAGCAAACACCTTGCCGGCAGGATTAAAGTGCCACAGCACCTCTGGGTCTTGCATTTTAGAGCAAGAGAGAGGATTCCTTATTCAAGCCTGCAATCAACAAACACGCCAGAAGACACAAAAATGATTACAGACACACATTCAGAGCAAATACAGGACTTGCTCAGAGAACACTCCCCCAACTGCCTTTGGAAAAACCTTGGGATTCAGGCAAAGCACCTAAATTTCCCCAAGTTGAAATGGAAGCAGGTTAACTGCTCCCAGAGAACTAAATGTGAAGTGAACTTGGCCACGAGACAAAGCAAAGGCTCTGAAGAGAACCCAGACTGGGTCCCTGGAGCATGTATCACAACACATACCTCCCCCTATGCAAGAGGAAGACTCATCATACACATGCCATCTAGCCTAGGACCATCAGCCATCACTAATTCTTTGGTCCTTCTTGGGTGGCTTATTCTACTTGCTATCTGCCATGGGATCTCATCCCTCTTCCCCCTCTGATCCAAAAAAAAAGAGGTATCAAGCTCCCACGGCACCCCTCTGGGCTGAAGGAGAAAGGAGAGAAGTCAACCAGTGCTACAAGGGGTACTAAATCAGAAATAAGGTCCCACGGATTTGGGCTTTACCTCAGTATTCGTATATTCCGATACCCCATGTTCATGATCTGAACTCTCCCTGCTCTGCTTCCCTGGAGATTTGCACTTCCCTTTCTTGCACTTCCCACCACAGGGCTTCTTTTCCCCTCTGCAGAGGGCCTGAAGCTGAGTGAGGAACTTGGCTTTCCAGGCTTCAAAGTCGGCCTCAATGGTGCCATGCTCGCTCTGGGACACGTTACAGTCCCCCTCGGCACGAGTCACGATCCGGCTGGCGCTGAGCATCCACAGCCACCTGTCAATATTTCTTCCAACCTGGGATAAGATCAAAGTTAGAGGGAAATTAAATGAAGGGCAAGTTAAACAAAGCAGGCAACTAAGAAAGCAAGCACCAAGCCTGGAAAGAGGGCTGCACAGGACTGCAGGACAGGCACTTCTGGACTCTCCCTCACCTGCCGGCTCAGAGCACACACAGTCTGAACACCACCACACCTGGATTAGACATTACGAGAAAAATGCTTCACTGTGAGGGTGCTGAGGCGCTGGCACAGGGTGCCCAGAAAAGCTGCGGCTGCCCCATCCCTGGCAGTGTTCAAGGCACAAGAAGGTGGCACAAGGCCTGTGGCAGGGGGTTGGAACTCTAAGAGCTCTAAGGTCACTTCCAACCCAAAGCATTCTGTGATGGAAAACACCTCTGCTATCAAACCCATGTGATAAGAAAGAGGTGAGCTCTGGAAACAAGCTCCTTTATGCTATGCTTGGTCAAAATGGCCACATCCCTAACACATTTCCTGTGGCTCCAGTTACACAAACATAACAACCAGGTGACAAGTCACGCCATTTTTCCGACCAAGATGAAACTCATTACAAGGCTCAGGTACTGCCGTATGCCCACTTCTATGGGCAACCTGTGCCAGTGTCTCACCAAAATCACAGGGAAGAATTTTTTCCCTAATGGCCATTCTCAGTATCCCGTCTGGCAGGTTAAAGCCATTCCCCCTTGATCGGTCCCTGCAGCCCCTTATCTAAAGCCCCTCTCCAGGTTTATCATCAGACCCCTTTAGGCTCTGGGAGCTGCTCTAATGTCTCCCCAGAGCCGTCTCTTCTCCAGGCTGAACCAGACCAGCTCTCACAGCCTGGCTCCAGAGCAGAGCTGCTCCGGCCCAGGCAGCATCTCTGCGGCTCGATCCAACAGCTCCACATCCCATGTGTTGTTGCCCCAGAGCTGGATGCAACAGAGGGAGGGTCTCACCAAAACAGAGTAGAGGAAGAGAACCACCTCCCTCAGCCTGCTGGCCACACTTTTTTTGGTGCAGCCCAGAATGCCATTGGCTTTCTGGGCCAATTCTCACACAAACTACCAGTAACGGGCAGGTACGTAGCATTTAAGATAGCTCAGCCTTTCAGAGGAGCAGGAGTCAAAGACATGTGCACAGGAGATACTTACTGTGTTGTAATGAGCAACATACGCAGAGTTTCCCAAGCCAAATACAGCATATCTCAGGCCCTTCAGATAGGCTTTCCCAAAGCGAAAGTCGTGTGCAGCCTCTTCTAACCACCTACAGAACCAGGCTGCACTCTCGGTTGGCTGCCCATCTGTGTACGTAGCCACCAAGAACACACAGATGTTCCTGCTGGTTGTCTAAGAACAGAAACAGAACACAAGAGAAAAGATCACTCAATTTTTCTGAGCACTTCAGGAAGAGAGCTGGAACACATGGGCACCTGAAAGAAGTCAAAAGATGAGATTTTGGCTGGCTGGCTGGCTGAATAGTTTTTGGTGTGGGATGCTGCAGGTGGTAACCCCAACAGTGGTGGATGGCCATCCTCCCTGCAAAGCCATCTTAAATTAACCAAAGGAGAACAAGCTCTCTTTCCCCTGCTTAATGGAGTGGTAAAACAGAACGGGACACCCACCTTCCCCACCCCAATCAACAGCTTCCAAAACACGCTCTTGCAGCAATAACGCCCCCATACATTAAAAAAATCAACTATCAATATTGACAGAAGAAAAATCCACCAAGGATTCCCCAGCAGAAATACTGCTCACGAGAAGTTTCTAAGTCTAAAAGCTGCAGAAGAATCACTATCCTCTTACTCCAGTTTTGAACCCTTCCCAGGTGGACACTCATAGACACAACAGGGGCCCTGGTGCAGACACTGTCCATTACTCACAGCCGAGTTACACAACTGGCTTGGACAAAGCCAAGCTCGGCATCACACACCCTACATAAGCCTTTCCTCAGCAATTTCAGCATTTAGCTATTTGTTGCCAAGGGCTGATGGACTGCACTTGCTTCCATGGAAGGAAAGCAAATTGCAACACAACAGCTTTGCCTTCACAACCCCAGGAAAAGCTTGGAATTATTATTCCCATTTACAACATACCTACCTCGTCTAATAAACAATCATCTGGATCACAGTCTCCCGTGCTAATGACTTCCACTGGCACATTAAGGGAAATAACTGCCTCAGCAAGAGCTCTGGCAAATCTCTGAGAAAAGAAACAGAGACAGCAACTGGGTGCTACAACACAGGTACCTGAAAGGTCAAACAAGCCCTGCTGTGCCCAGAGACAGGACTTCTCCCAGCACAGCAAGGATATACTGGCTGGAAAAACAGAATCACATGAATTTTATGATTAACGATTTTATATTTACACACACAAATGACATTTCCTTTTGAAAAAGCACCTGAAAGAGCACTTCTAAGAAGATCAGCTAGCAAATTAAGAGTATATTCAAGGCCAGGTTGGATGGGGCTTGGAGCAACTTGCTCTAGTGGAAGGTGTCCCTGCCTGTAACAGGGGGTTAAAACTGGAAGGTCCCTTTCAACACAAACCAGGCTGGGGTTCTATAACACTGTAAGAGTAAACTTGAAGCTTCATAATAATGTCTCTACTGCATACCCCACATGAAGGCAGTAGTAAAGCTCTTATTTTTATATGCTTTTCACTTATCTTTCCTGTTGGGTAACAACTTCTCATGACCTAAGGAACTCTGATCTTTACACACTGTAGTGTTTCTAAGGCAAGCAACATACTCGAATCTCAACATTTCAACTCAAGATCATGCACATGGAAAAAAAGTAACTCATACCTTTGCTGTGCCAGTCTGAGACCCATAGAAAATCTTTACCCCAGCAACGTAGACCTCCTTTCTCTGCAGGGTGGCACATCCATTGACTACCTTGTCTTCTATTCCTTCAGAAGAAGCGGGATTCCCAGTGGGTTTTTCACCCTGTGGAACAAGCACTGTCTCGCGTTCCATCCCTTTTCAAAGCGATGGTAACCCCCTTTTCCCCAAAAGCATTGAAAATTCCAGTCCTGTGATCAGACTCTCAGCACCATGCAAATGGAACAAAGCAGTTGAGTGTCTCTCACCCTACAGAGACACACAAGTAGCTTTCTCCAAACTAGGCCATGCTACAACACGCTCATCTCGCACACTGCTGAGATAACAGACTCAGGCTGAAACCAAGAACGTCCCAACTCCTAAAGCAGAGCTTCACTCACCTGAACGGCAAGGATTTTAATTCCCGAGTGGCCTAATCCCACCCTGGTCCCCAGACCAGCCCAACCTTATCATTAACATCACAGGAAAAATGAGAAAACCTTGCAGAAGCAGAGTGATTTGCCTGAAGTGACAGAGCAAGCGAGGCTGACACACTCCCTCAGTAACAAATGGAAAGCATTCAGATGAGTTCTGCTGTAACAGCGGAGCAAAGAGCGCGTTCAGCTACCCACAAACATAAGACGACCAGGACTGAGGATTACAACCATCAGACACACTGAACTACAGCTGGCACATGCAACAACTCCGGTGGGCCCACAGGGGAGTAGCACATTTCACTGCACCAGGGGCTTCCTTTCCCCAGCAACTGCTCGCTGGGCTGTGGAGCGGGGCACAGATTCTGGGGCTCTTCTCAAAGCACCTACATGCTCTGTTACCTTCTCTTGGGGTTTGGAGGTGGAGAACTGAATGACGATCCAAATGCTGACCCCAAAGGCAACTGCAGAACAGACGTAAAGCCTGTGCAGCCATAAGGACACCAGGCAAGTAGAGAAGAAGCTCCACGCATCCATTGAGACATCCAAGTCTAAAACAGATCACAGATTTAGCGAGAGCAGATTCCAACAGCACAAACTGAGAATGAACACCACAAACCCAGCCATCCCGCACCTGCAGGCTCAGGCCAGCAGCCTGACGCCAGGCTCTGCAAAAAACAGCCTTTGCCTACAAACACGACGCTACAAGAAGCCTTCACCTCCTCAGAGGAGCACCAACTGAGCTCAACCTCTGTTTCCACTGCCCTGTGGAATCTCTGGGTTTTCTTTAGAGAGCACCGGTTCTGTTCCAGGCAAAGGCAGGTAACACTCGAGCTGTGCAAGTGTCTGAAAGGAAGCAGTCCCTGTGAAACACCCAGGGCATCGGACCGGCCTTACTTTGGCACAGATCCAACACGTGCAGATCTCTCGAGCTACAAAGCTCCACGGCAAGGGGAAAATCACCTCCAAGCGCCCGCTGCTGAGCACAACCCTTGCTCGTACACGTGAGGCGCCACTCTGCTTACAGGAGCTTTGAGCCAGGTTCCAGGCCAGAGCAAGACCTCGACTCAGGTCACAACCTTGACGGGAAGCCCTTCATCAGCAACACCGAAGCTCCCAAAGACCAGAGCTGGGAGCGCTGCGGCTCTGCGGCAGCCCCACCGAACCCCTCCAGGGGGGCTCCGGGAACCTGCAGCACCCCGGGAACGCCGCTCCGCTCCGCCCCCCCCCCCCTCCCCGGGCAACCCCTGCAATTCCCCATGGAACACCCCCACCTCCCCCGGGCCTCACCGCCCATGGAGCTGCCCCGCCGCCCCTCAGCCCTGGGCCTGCCCTACCCCTGCCCCTCCGCACGCACCACTGACTCCTGCTCGGAGCTCGCCCGACCCACGGAACCACGGCACATCCTCACACAAACCTCTCGTCCCCTTGCCCCGAAACCACCTCACGGCTCTTACCCCACACCCGGCCAGCACCCACCACAACATCCTCCCCGCTGCACTTACCTTACACACACCCTCGAGCTCCTACACGGCCAACCCCGGCTCCGCCATTCCCGCACGGACACGGCCCGGCCCGGCCCTGCCCGGCCCGGCCCCGCTCCGCTCCGGCCACAGCGCAACACCCGCTCCCGCGGCCCGCACCGCCGGAGAGCTCTCGCCTCGCTCGGCCCAGCGGCCGCCGCGCACCCCTTCCCTGCGGAGTGAGCTTGCGGAGCGACGGCGAGGCGGGGAAAGCGTAGGGGCGGCCACAGAGGAGTCACGGCCGG